CCCCCCCCCCCCCCCCCCCGCTTCGAGACAGGGTCTTACTAGGTAGTTCTGGCTGTCCTGAAACTCCCTCTGTAGACCAGGCTGGCCTTGAACTCAGAGATCCACCTACTTCTGCACCCCAAGTACTGGGATTAAAGGCATGTGCCACTATGCTCAGCTTGTCTTAGTTTTTAAAGACACAACTTAAGCCAGCATATCCTTATTGATGGCAATACTATGGACTTCCCAAACTTGTTCCATGATTAGTCAAACTGTAATATGTCTATCTATTCTCCTAACAGCTGAATCGCTAACCTACCATGCCAATGTTCCATAGTATCTTAGATTGGTCCCTTTCATTTGGCATTTAAATCACCGCTATTTGCTCTCCAAGATGCTGTTCTTCTGTTAAATAAGTATTTGCAGAGCGCTGACTACTTGCCAAGTCCTGGCCTGTCCACTGGGGCAGAGGAGGGAGTCCCTGCCGTCCAGTTGTGGAGACAAACAGCAATCTGATGAGCTCACGAGGTGCCTTCCAGTGTGTGTGAGTTTGCTGTGTGGAGAGTCACAGCATGAGTGGTAGAGGACCATTGGGCGGATGGCTGGTGACAACCTGTGACTCTTGTCTGGATATTCCTGAGAACTGGCGGATGCACACACTTATTTCCTTCCTTGGAGTGATTTTCTGGACTGGACACTACAGGAGTGGACCAGAAGGTTATTGGCATTGTTCATCTCTTGATGGCTACTGCCAAAATATTTTCCCAAAGTGAAAAGTAGACATGCCCCACCCCGCAGGCCACAGCCACGTGGGCCAAGTCACTGCTAACATTGCGAGCAAACGGTCCAGGCAGGAAGTGATAAATGTTTGCAAGCGGTTAGATAGAACAGAGAGGTGGGAAACTAGCTCGTCCCATCCTCTGCATCTCCAGATGCTCAGACCTGGTGCTTCTTGTTGTATTTGTTAGCAAACTCATCATGGGCTTTGGAGCTATCCCTACCTATTTTGTCCTGGGGTCGGCCATTAACCCATCTTGAGCATAAATAGTATCCTCTTCAATGACAAAGATGCTCACTGTGAGGAGCAGGGGCCCAGACCTTAGCAGCATGCTGGGAGACGCAAGTGAACCTAGCGCATGTAACAGGGGCTCCATCTGTGAGTTTAATGGGACTGTTTGGGGACTTAGTATTTTCCTCCACCATAGGAGTCTATGCCAAGAGCAAATTGTGAAACACTTTGTTTTTGGTTTCCGCCCAGCCCTGTTCTGCGCTGTTCTGCTCCAACACCTCCCCCTCATCCTGTCTGGGGCCTGGCAGCCTGCCTTCCTCTGGCAGTAGTGCCAGGTACATGCTACCATGGGCAATGCCTTAGGCTCCTCCCTCCCCTTCCCAAGATCGAGATGGAAATCTTCCCAACAGCTTTCTAAAAACCATATTTATTGTGATTCCAGGAGAATGGTGGTAACCGCAGCCCTTTGGAGGACACACCACGTCTCAGGGTGCGGGCACCCCCTGACTTGACCTGAGTGCCGCTCTGAGAAGCCCTCAGAGGTGTGGGCCTGGTGGTTTCCCTTCCCTGCGGCTCCTAAGTCTTCTCCTTTGCTTGGTACCCAGGAGAGTCCCTCCCGCTGGCCCTGGCGCTGGTCGCGTTTGTTGGCTTTGTGCTGGTTCTCATGGTTGTACTGTACTCCATCTGGAAGATGGGCCAGCTGCTCCGCTACTCTTGCTGCCCATCTGTAGTCCTCCCCGACACCTTGGTAAGAGCATTATCTTACGTTTCAGTGTGACGTTGACCAGGTGCCTCGTGGGCTTTAGTTGGGCTTGGACACATTTTTCTGTGCTTTATGAAGGCAGGCAGAGAGAGGAGAAAGTACTAATGGGCATTATTTATCTTTGTCTCTGCTGCTGTAACAGAATACCACAGACTGGGTAAGTTCTAGAGAATAGGGTTCATTGGCTTCCGGAGAATGGGGGTGGTGTTGGTGGAGTGAGGTTGAAGGGCCTAATGGGTGAAGGTCTTCTTGCTCTTACAACATGGCTAAAGGTGTCACTAAAGGGATAGAACAAGTTATCAAGCACACGGCCTTCAGGCCTTATAACCCACATTCATGGAGCTGAGGCCTTTCCAGCCTCCTCATGTCCTGCAGTTCCTGACCTAACATGTGGTTTGGGGGATACACTCAGGTCACAGTAACCCCTGATCAGAAGGTCTGGGTGAGTCCTCCCTTTTCCAGGCTCTGGCAGGCCATTCTGCTTTCCCACAGGACCTGACATTACCAAGAGGGTGGCTGTGTTACTCAGCCCGGGGTGCTTAGTGATAAGCTATGCGGTCTTGTCTTCCCCAGCGCTTTGAGTTCTCTCAGGTTCCCCAGTTGTAACAGCAGCTACAGCCAGTAGCAGGTTCTGACTCAACACAGTCTGTATGCCAAGAGTCTCATGCCTCTCAGGCTTAAGACCATGTGGTGTGGAAGGTGCTTTGCCTTGGGTGAGCATGGAGTAGGCAAGGGCAACAGTGAGGACCTTCATAGAGACTGTTCTTCTGGTGTCCCCCAAACCCAGGATGCTTATCTTACTCCTGAAAACAATGGACCAGGGCTCGGAACCTCTCTGTGGGTGTAGGCCCTGTGTGTCTGTGCCCTGGAGGGGGCTGAGCAAAGGCAGGCCTCAGCAGCTCACACATGCCTCACCTGTGGCTCTTCAGAGCACCCCCCTCCACCCCTGTCACCCTAAGGTTGCCACAGTTCCCTTCTGGTGGGGAGTTAGCAGGCCGCTGCTTGAGAGCAATCAGAACCAGATCTGTCTACAGTCAGCACACTGCCGGGATTCCTTAGCAGTCGGCCATCACAATGAAGCCACTCCTATAACATCTATGAGGTTTGCTTTTGCCTCTGTACAAGTGGAGGAAGTCTCCCTTTAGCCCAGTATGCAGGATGCCCTGTCACCCTTCTCTCCTAACGCCAGCTCTCCTGTCTCTGATACGTCCATGTGGTCTTAGCAGTGTTAGCCGACCCCAGCACAGAGCTCAGTGCCTGGGCTGTGGTGATGATGCTGCTATGGGAACTCAGTTCACTGGGGTTGCTCTGACTTCTGTATAGTAGTTCTACAAGCTCAATGAGAGAAGGGTGTAAAGACCCTAACCATGGCTGTAGCTGCATCTGTTTCTTCCTTTATGCCAACTTTTCATGCTTTTTTTTTTCTTTTTAGAAAGGGTCTTTTTGTATAGCCATGGCTGTCCTGAAACTCACTATGTGGACCAGGCTGGCCTTGAATTCACAGAGACCCACCTGCCTCAGCCTCCTGAGTACTGGGATTAAAGGCGTGTGCCACCACCGCCTGGCAGCCATACACATTTATGATTGCTGGATCTTCCTAAGTAAGCCTTTTAGCATCACTATGTGTTTCTTTTTATCTCTGGTAATATTTAGCTCTTTTTTGCTCATTGCTTATATGGTATATTCTTTCTCTCTCTCTTTCCTTTCCTTCCTTCCTTTCTTTTGAAACAGTGTTTCTCTGTGTGGCCCTGGCTGTCCTGAGACTCACTCTGTAGACTAGGATGGCCTCGAACTCAGAGATCCACCTGCCTCTGCCTCTGAGTGCTTTTATGTGGCACTCAAGATTGAACCCAGGCCACTGTACATTCTAGGCAAGCACCTTACCAACTCAGCCCCAAGTATATACATTTATAATTCTTTTTTATTTACTCTTTTGGTTATTCTTCACATAGATTTATTCATTGTTGTTACAGGAATTATCATATACATGACTATCACAGTTTTTAAAGTATGAGTGTTTATATATCCATCAGCACACCATGTGCATGCAGCGTCTACAGAGGCCAGGAGAGGGCATCAGATTCCCTGGAATGGGGTTACAGACAACTCTTAAAAAGAAAGCATTTAACTAGGGGCTTGCAGTTTTAGAGGGCCAGTCCCTGACCATCATGGTGGGAAGCGGAGAGACAGGCATGGCGCTGGGGCAGTAGCTGAGAGCTTTACATCCTGATCTGCAGGCAGCAGGGAGAGAGGAAAGAGAGACAGAGAGACAGGGTCTGATGTGGGCTGCTTTTGGAATCTCAAAGGTCACTCCCAGCAACACTCTTTCTCCAACGAAGCCACCCTGCTGACCTGCTGGTCTTCCTGGAGAGTTCATCAATTCAGGACTAAGCATTCAAACATATAAGTCTATGGGAGCCATTCTCTTTCACATCACTACAGAGAGAAGGGGTGGGGGCAGGGAACAAGATATATCTTTCCAGGGACCCTTGGTTCTTAATAACCTACTTCTTCTAATGAGGCCCTCCCTCTTTTTATGGCCTCCAACTATGTCAAATTGTGACCACATCAAGGGATTATTCCATCGCTCTAATCACTTGCCCAAAGCCTTCCAGTGCATGAGCCAACAGGAGATATTTCAGATTCAGGCCATAGCAGGCCACTTAGTAATGGACTGTCTGAAAAGGTGCTCTCTGTCTGTTTAAAATCAGCTACAATCGTGCGCTGGGGGCTCTGGGAAGAGCTAGAGGCATGTAATACAGGAGCAAAAACAGGCCTGCTCTTGTGATCCTCTGTCTGAACTGGGCATGGGGCTAGGTCTCTTCCTAAAGCCTCACAAAGCGGGTCCTTCTCAGAGCTCTCTGGTGTAGAAGGTTGGACACTACCTCCCCCATCCCCCTGAATTATATTTGAGTTTTTGTGGAATTGATTCTCACAGCAAAGCACTGACCCAGCAGGGCCATGTGGGAATTGCTCAACAAGGGCCAAGAGAGATCTCAGCAGATGCTGGGAGCCACTGACCTAGGGCTTGGATTGTCCTGGAGGGTTTTGTGGCTTGAAAGTTAACTAGGACTGCGGAGATGGCTCAGCAGTTAAAAGTGCTTGCCACGTAAGCGCCCAGTGTGAGGATCAGAGTTCAGATCCCCAGAACCTATATAAATGCTGAGTGAGGGATCAAGGAAAACTCCCAGTGCCAACTTAGGGCCTGCACATATGAGTACATGTACCCACCTACACATGTGAGAACATGCATGCACGTACACACACACATACACACACACACACACACACACACACACACACACACACGGAGTTCAGTAGTTGGGTTTTCAGTTAGGGGTGGTAATACACACCTTTAATCCCAGCACTTGGGAGACAGAGGCAGGCAAATCTCTGTGAGTTCGAGGCCAGCCTGGTTTACAGAGCTAGTTCCAGGAGAGCCAAGATTCCACAGAGAAAACCTGCCTCGAAAAACAAACAATAAACAAATACTTGGGATATCTGTGCTATTCTTTTTTTGCGATTACTAATGAATGATTTTTGTGAAAATGACTTTATAGAAAATCACCAGTTCGTCTCAGAAGCTGATCAGCTGCAGACAGGAAGAGGTGGACACTTGCGCTGTGGCCCCGCTGTCCTCGGAGCATCTTTTCGGGGTCTGGTTGCTCCAACACTGCAAATGAGACTGGGTGATTGCCAGGTGGCCAGTTGTCTCTGTCATCTACTGCACGTTTTGGAAGCTGCTTGCCTCTTCTGATTTAGCCAAACCATTGCTAATACAAGACTTAGACTCCTTAGAATGATTATTGAATCATTTAGCATATGTTCCTTCCTTAATATTGTTTATACTGGTTGTAATTCTAATTTTTATACTTGATATCTGTTTTTATTGTATATAGTTTTGTATTGGGTTTGGAACTCTTTTATTTAGAAAAAAGGGGGAGGTGATGGGGAACCCCCTCCAGCCAGTGGCCTCTGAGAGGCTGGACCAGTTTGAGGCGTGGCTTTTGGGTACCAAAAAGCTGCGGTCCCACCCTGCTCTGTCTCTTCTTCCTGGGAGCCACTCCCGGATGTTGGCCCCATTCCTATTTCCTTGTTGTAATAAGTGAGTTCACTTTTAATAAAGAAAAACCTAAACATACTTTATCCGGCGTTAGCTTGGGATTATTTGACTCGCCTTCCCCCCATTTGACGCGTTCTGTGTCACACACGGTGTGAGAGATTGTGAGACTTGAGAGCGTGGTAACGTGGCAACAAACCCTTCGGGGTGGGCTGTCTACAACCAGATGTAGTCAGTGTTTGTACTGCCTCTATTGATAATTCCTTCAAAAGTTATTTTCCTGAGCTATCAGATAAAGCAAGCAAATAGTGTTTATTCTGATAGGAGCCTGGCTTTTGGGATCAGTGGACCGGAGGGCTAATTGTAGACCTCAAAATTTGCATGAGAACAGTGTGTCGTTATAACCAAAGCTTTGATGGCTAGTATGTCAACTTCACACAAGCTCGGGACCTGTGAGTGGAGAGAGCCCCAGCTGAGTTAATGCCTCCACAAGACTGGGCTGTAGGAAGGCTGCAGAACATTTTATTAACTCGTGGTTGATGTAGAAGAGCCCAGCTCACTATGGACAGTGTCATTCCCTGCGTTGGTCACCCTGGGTGCTATAAAAAAAGGCCGGCTGAGCAAGCCATGAGGAGCAAGCCTCCTGGCCTCCGTGGCTGCTGTATCAGCAACTGTCTAGGTTCCTGCCCTGACTTCCCTCTGTGATGGACTGGAAGTGTAAGCAAAATAAACCTTTCCCAAGTTCCTTTGGATCATGATGTTTTATAGCAGTAATAGAAATCCTAACCAAGACAAAACCAAACAAGGGACTACAGGACTGTATAAAGTGCACAAACATTTGGAATGAAAAGTCACAGAATTTGGCACTTGTAGGCAGGCAATTTGGTGTTAAAAAAAACAGAGTACTTGGTTTTCCCCTCTGAAATGGCAGGGTAGAATTGCCACCCCAACAATGCACACTGATGTCCACATTTCAGTTCCTAATGTTGTTTGTCTTTCAAAAGTCAGTGTTAATGCCGTGGCTCATTCCATGTCTGGCCTGGGACTGAAGGGCACGTGGGAGTTTTAGAACATCCATGCCTTGTTCAGTCAGAAAACAAAGCTCTGGACAATGGGATCAGTCAAAACTTAGCATAAGCAGTCGCAAGAGTCCCTACTGACCAAAGGTGGGGCAGTGCTGAGCACCCAAGCGAGAAAAGGCTGCTGGTGTCAGTTGGTACTGGCCAATTGATACAATAGTGTCAATTGATACAATCTATCTGAAATCATCATTCTACAATGGCACCCCAAAAGAAGTCTGACAAACTAATTCTCAGGGTGAATTGAGCCCAGTGAAAGCCCCTGGCTGAGGAGACCTGGAGACCTGGGTTCCACCCACCCCTGGGAACCACAGAAAGGTACAAGACAGAATGGATACCACAGAGATGTTCCCTGACAAGCACCAAGTGGGATATACAAACACTCTGCACCCGTACACAGGAAGTACAAAAACTGAAAAGCAGCAACAGTGTGTACTCTACTGTGAACTTGTTAGGTCTCAGGAAGAGCCCATGTCCGGAAACGGCAGTCTTGGCTCAACTCAAGGTGGACTTTGGAAAGATTTCTGGTGGTTAGGTAAAAGCCAGTATTTCTCCGGAACTTGTGAAATGGGCTCCCCTCAGCCAGGAGTCATTTCCCTTGCCCCTGGCAGAGGGGACATGCGCTCCCCATTGATACATACCTGTGGTTACACGTCAAAGCCCATCCTGGGCTCCAGGCTCCCTCAGCCCCTACTACATCTCAAGGCCCAGGCCACCCTGGCAGGCCATTCCGTCTCCGTCTCTACCGTGCTAGCTCCCAGCCTGCTGCAGTTCACAGGCCTCCCTTCTCCTTACCCGTTAGCTCTGTAATGTCCCCCACCCACCCGGCACGTGCTGTTTTCTACTACCCTCTTTTTTGCTACTCTGGTTATTCTCTATGCCGTCTTCCTGCTTCTCTCGGCTCCCAAGAGACAGATAGCCCTGGCCACGTCTAGTCTTCCCTTGTTTCCTCCGATCTAGACTCTTCCAGGTACCTTTGGATGTTCTCTCTCTTACTGGCAGCGAAAAACCTTCCTCTAATCATGGGCAACCTTTTCGGCGTCTTTATTGTGTCCTCACAGTACTCATTTGAGGGCTTATCGGCTCACTCATTTTTATTAGTGAAAAATACCAGCAAATGTTAGGCAGAAGGCTTATTTCTCCACCACCAGTCCCTGGCTCCAGACACCACCTGCGCCCACCTGCAGGCGGCGAAACAGCCTCTCTGGCTGCCACCTCCCGCCTCCCACTTAATTCTCCTTCGTTTTACGGAGGAATTGCAGATGATATCTGGTCTCTGTGCTACGCCTCCCTATCTCTTTAAAACAGGCTTCTTTCTTGTTTTCCGTGGGCCTGTTTTCTTTTGGGGCCGGTGTGACTTTTCTGCGGATCTGTTTCCTTTGAATCTGGTCTGACTTGATCGGGTTGTCCAATTCCTCCGCCCACCGGGAGGGAGCGCCTTCATTGCGTGCACGGGTGTCTGGTGCCACCTTGTGGTGAATTCTGAAATATCCTCCTGTTCCCACTAGAGATGACGCTCCCAGGGCTTCCCGCTTAGGGAAATGGAAAAACCCAGGCTAGTTTTCTGGGAACCAGGAGTCAACGGGAGAAAGTCCCCAGGCCTACACCGGAACACAGCTCCATCGTCGCTTGCAGAATTAGGCGGTCACCATGTCCTCGCTCTCTGTCTCTGACACCAGAGAGTGTGCCCCGTGGCTCGCTTTCCTTTCTAGGTTCTCTACTCTTGTCTTACTTTGCAGGCACATGCTCGGAACCCAGCCCTAGGAGGACTCGAGTTCGAGGTCAGTTTGGGCTACACAGAGAACCTTTGTTTGGGAGGAAGGAAAACAATGGTGATGATGGACATTTTTAGCCTGCTCCTGACCAGACTGATGTTCTAGAGGTGCTCCTCAGGTCAAGGGCCAGCAGCAGTGGGTCCCCACTGTGGCCCAGTCATGCTAAAGCGTTGTGCACACTTTGAGGTTGGGAACAACATTAGAGTTTACCCAAAGTGAAGATTTGGTTTTGTTTTTCTGGCTCCCGGGGCCCTCACATTTCCTTGCCAGAGTTGGAGGTTCACAAAGGAAGACGCAGTGGCCTCCCCTTGTATCCCTAAGCGAGCAGTTGCCAGCCCTAGGAGAGGCTGTGAAGTCGCATTCCACACCCAGGAGGACCTCTAGGGACCTGAAACAGCACAAGGTTGGCTCCTACCTGGCTCCGGAACTTTTTACCTAGTGAGTGATTCCGGATCGCCTAGGGGCGGCAAGCAAGTTTTGCACACTCGCCTCCTTATAAGGTCAAGTCTGCAAAGCAAGCACAAGGCCTGGACACACTGGTGGAAGGGGCAGAGGTCAAGCCTTTTGACTCCTGCGGCCTGAGTCAGGTGAAGTCACTTCACTCGCGCAGAACTCCGCTGACTCAGCTGTCCGGCCTTTGCAGCCGGATCAAAGGTAAACAGTTCCCCTCTTGGGAGCCGCCTAGAATGAGGGAAACCTCAGTGACTTTACTACGGAGGTTTCCTGTAGTAGAGGGCAGCAGGAAGATGCTGAAATGCAAATAATTTGCAAGGTACCCTTTCAGATAAAAGGATTTCCCCACTTACAAAAAAATAAATAAATAAAAAAAATTGGAAGGCTGTAAACCTTTGAAATGTACCCAATTTCAAGTCCTGCTCAGAGGCAGTAGGGTGTTAGCGGCTGGAAGGATGCCTCTGGACAGACAGCGAGCTGTAAAGGGTCAGAAGTGATTGATTGGTTCTGTTGGTCTTTTATTGAATATGTTTTATTGATTTTCACAGACATATTTGGAGTCTTTGGAATTAAATGGTTTGTCAGTTACTTTCTTTCCAGTTGCTTTACTGTTTTTTCTCTCTCCCCTCCCCTTCCCCGCCATTTCCTCCCCTTCCATGTTACTCCTCCCAGCTCCCTTTCTTTCCTCCCGCCTCCCCTCCCTCTCTCATGTCCTCCTTTTCTCTCCCCTCTCTTCTAAGTTTTAGACTCTGAAGGCAAAGGAGAGCCTTGAGCCGGAGAGTTAGAAAAAGCCTGCTTTGAGGTGTGGCTCTAAGCATATGGCCGAAAAGCTTGCTTGACCAGTGCTGCACGAAGTGGGGCCCTTTCTCCAACACCTTATTTTACAACCTAAAATAATTATTCTCAAGTTGGGATTGCTAAACACAATGTCGTTTTAGACATTTGAGAGAACATTATAGTTTGATAACTAAAATCACATGATGCATCTGTTTGCCTCAAGTTCAACATTTTAAGTCTACTCTGAAATCATAGATGAAGCTCTGAGAGAAGGGAGACTCAGGGATTGGGACTTTTTGTAATCGATTTTAGGGGGAGGATTTAGGGTTCTCTAGGGACAGAACACAGCCTGAGCCTCCATCCGAGGCCATTGCCATCTTTCTACTTGATCAGAAACTGTAGGAGTCTGTGGAGAAATTTCCCCTTTTAAAAAGGCAATGCTTTTATTGCTTTGAGAATATCATACAAAGTGCTTAGATCACATCCATCCCTCTCCTAATTCCTCCTGCAATCATCTTTCTGTCCTCACTCTCCCACCCACCCACTCTGGAGTCTCCTCCTCAAATGAATCCAGTTTGTGTTGCCCAACTGCTCGTGGGAGTGGGGCCTGCCCTGGAGTGTGATCGACCTAGCAGGGGTCACATTTTATTTTTTATTTATTTTTTTCAAGGGTAAATGAATTTAATTACTTATCATTTCTTTCTTTTTTTGTAGTGACATTTCATTTTTTTGAGGTTTCTTTTTTTTTATTAAAAATTTCTGCCTCCTCCCCACCTCCCATTTCCCTCCCCCTAAACATCCCCTCGCCATATAATAATCAAAACACAAAACATACAGGTTAAAGAATATTAAGAGCTGCAAAGGAAAAAGGTCAAGTAACTTATAAAAGTAAACCTATCAGACTTACACCAGACTTCTCTATGGAAACCATGAAAGGGGTCACATTTTAAAAGAAAGCTGACTCTCCCTCTCGCAGAAACTATCAAATCCCAGTAGCCTTTT